GACATACAGACATACACATGCTACCATTTTATATATATATATATGTATATATATATACATACATACATACATAAATACATACATACATACATACACACAAACATACACAGAGAATCCCTTGTGCCTTGCGTGCACATATGTTAAGATGCGGTACATATACTTACAGATATATGTATATATATATATGTATATATTTTTTTGCGCAAACTGTTCCACATACGCATCAACACATGTGTAGGCTAGATATGCACCTGGAGCAAGGGGAAGATTGTAAAATTTATGTAATTTTCTACATTACGTTGTTGGCATGTCTGCTAGGCTTGTGAATGATACAGTAAGCCTTGCGCGCATCTTTCTTTTGCTCTGAGTATGGGTATGCGCGCGGGTCCAAAACAAAAAAAAGGTGTCATGCATTCCGACACTTCGGAAACTCACAAGTCTGGTCCTTAGGTCTAGTTCCGAGCACAAAGGGCTGTAGTTCCCTGGACTCCGCGGGCGTGGGCGGGGCAGGTGGACACTATTTTCCGGAGGCATTAAGGGGGGGGGGGGGGCACACCCAAAAAAAAATGGCATCCCATTTTTCGGGCCTGGCTGCCTGCCCTTCCCTTCATTCTACTACCAGAACAATTTACAGCCTTATTCATACTTACTTACTTACTTACGTACATACTTGCCGACCTCTACTCATTTGCTTACTTACGTCACTACAGCCTTATTCCGCCAGCGCCCCAGCCCCACCGCCAGCGCCAGCCAGCCCCCACGCCAGCCCTCGCGCCAGCCCTGGCGATGCACCTTCATTTGGCGATCCAGATTGATCACATATCTTAAACTCACCCCCTCCTTTGGCGATTCCCATTCATCACATTTCTTCAACCCACACCTCATTTGGCGATCCTGTTTCACCAGTTGTTTTAAGCATGCCCTCTGATTAGGCGATCCCGGTTGATAATAGTTCTTAGGACTTGGGCCAACCACCACATTATAGTCGATCCTGGTTGATCAAGTTTTTAAACATCCCCTGCAATCCCGCACATCTCTTAAACGATCCAGACTCAACACATCGACATAGCTGAAACCCACCTCTCATAAGGGCCATCCTTGTTGATCACATACCTTACACCCCTCCTTTGGCGACCCAGATTCATCACATGTCTTAAACGCGCCCCCTCATTATGCGATCCCGCCAACGTATCTTAAACCCGCCCCCTCATTTGGCGATGCAGTTTGACCACGTATGTTAAAGTTCCCCCCCCCCATTTTGGAGATGCCGGTTGATCGCATTTTTTAAACCCGCCCCTCGTTTGGCGATGCAGGTTGACCCCACATATCTTAAACCCACCGCCCATTTGGCGACGCCGGTTGATCGCATGTCTTAAAACCCGCCTGATCCTGTTTCAATACTTATTTCAAGCACCTCGCCTCAGCCGATCTCGGTTGATCACATTTCTTAAACCCGACCCTCATTCGGCGATCCCGTTTCATCACATACCTTGAACCCGCACCCTCGTTTGGCGATCCAAGTCGATCACATTTCTTAAACCCGCCCCCTCACTTGGCGATCCAGGGAATCGATTTGACGATGCCGGTTCGTCTCACATCTTAAACCTGCCTCTCAGATCCTCTCAGCGGGCGATCCGGTTGATCACATATCTTACACTCGGCCCCTCATTCGGCGATGCAGGTTGATCACACATTAACAATCCATCCGTCATTGGGTGGTCCAGGTTGATCACATGTCGTAAACTCGCCCCCTCCGTTGGCGATTCCCATTAATCGCATTTCTTCAACACGCCCCCTCATTTGGCGATCCTGTTTCACCACTCATCTTCAGCATGCCCTCTGATTAGGCGATCCCGGTTGATCACATTTCCTAAACCCACCCCTTCAATTGGCGATCCCAGTTGATCACATTTCTTAAACCCGCTCCCTCAATCCAGACATGTCTTAAGCTCGCCCCCTCATGGCGATCACGATTGAAGATTGATCACATTTCTTAAGCCCTCGAAGGCGATCCCGATTGAACACGTATCTTCAACCCAGGGCCAGCGCCAACGCCCGCCAGCCTTCCCCCATGCAGCGCCAGCACCAACGCCCGCCAGACCTTCCCCCCAAAAAAGCAGCGCAAACACAGCGCCAGTGCGCCCTCCCCTGCGCATGCAGCGCCAGTGCCAGCGCGCGGAATTAGTCTATCCCGACTTACGTACTGACGTGCGTGCGTGTACCTATAGCTACCTTCCCACCTACCTCTCCACAGACTGGTTCAGCCCTTGCATGTGCACATACACTTGTTCCTTCGTTTTGCATTGTTGCATCATTTGGTTTTTTTTACGTGGACACCTACAACTGCTCAAGCAAAAATACAAACTGTGTCTGTAGACACTGTAGATGCATTCGTCAAGGGGAGGCAGGTTGCGTGCGTCGTTTTGACACTCATGCGCACTCCTCGCCTGATGATAAAGCAGCATTCGTTGTAGAAATTATGACATGAGGCCAGCCAACCATCATGCCGCTGGAGCTACCTGAGCCCTTGGGCCCGAAGCTTTTCATTTGGGGTGAGCCCGTGCTGCGCGGGGGCACCCAGAGGCACCTCGAGCTTCTGAGATAGCATCGTTTCAACTCTCGTCTCAGGCAAGTACTACACCGTCTACGACTGGCAGGATCAGCAGATCGGCTTCGCGCTTGCAAAGCACATGCCCAGTGAGGTCTTGCAGGCTGATTTTTCAGACAGTTCCTCGGACCTCCAGCATCTAGGATCTCCACAGCGGAGGTTAAAACACTCTGGCTTCCCTCTTGAGCCAGGTTTCCGCGGACGAAGAGGCGAAGCAACTCCGGGCCGCCTACCCGGTGGTCCAATGGTCCTCTGCTGCTATGCGACTCATGTCGTTCTCATCGCTGTGGTCTAAGGTAGTCCGAGTGCTGGGGAGTGTCTCAGGGTTGCACAGCTGCCCCCATTGCCCAACCATCCGAGTCATACGTGTACACAACTGTCGCTTGTCGAGTCTGTTCCCGCATAATTTACAGCCACGGAGAATTCGGAGGCAGAGACAGGCTGCGTTTGCGCACTTGGACAGGTAGAAGCTTTGGAGGAAGTTTCGGGCCCGGGGCTGTCAGAGCGACGTTGACATTTCGCCGCTCAGGGCCGTGGACTCCTCTTCGCATGAGAAGGCTGCAGAGCTTGAGCTCGCTCATGACGGTGGACAACACAAGCACCTGAGTTTTTGCTGTAACGAATCTGAGTTGGATTGTACGGCAGCATCAGGGCAGCATGCATGCGGCCCTGGCATTCGACGTCGGTCGGCAGCTACCGCAGAAGATTCAGGTGTGCATCAGCATGCGTTGGGATCGGACTCGCACAGCACCTCAGCCCATGTCAACAAGTCCTGCAGTTTGTGTCGTCAACTTCGTTTGTAATCAGAGGCTTGCCGCTCTTAGGACTTAGGGTCTGATTCGAAGATAAAGCGATGTGAATGATCGGCACTTCGTGGGCACAAGCATGAAGCTCGGAAGTGAAGCGATTTGCGAGTCGGACTCCCATTCAATTCGGCTTCGAGCAGGCTGCTGATGTGCTAGAGACGTGTGCAAATTTGTTGCGCATCCGGTCTGTTTGGAGCAGCTGCATACTCCATATATCTGACGAGCTCCTGGACTGTGGCAATGTGCAAGCTGCAGGGAAGCCTGAAAGCTTTAGTCATTCAGGGCTTGAGCCCGAAATGCCCAGTCCAAGCGCCGTTCCATGCCGCGAACTGCTGCACGGCTACAAATGCGCGTAAGGGCGAGCGCAAGCACGGCAGCTGTGAGCATGCTTTGGCATCGCAACACAGATAAAAAGCAACAGAGGAAGTGGCCGAAATCATCTTGTCAATCAAGCACTGAGGGCTGGGAAATGCAGACCGAGACGGGTTCCGAACCGAGGCTTCGAAGAGAGAGAGACGACAATCACAACTCCTCTGAACGAGCGAGGAGTCCCCACGTTCCGGGAAATGCATTCTTGACTGAGATTTCTTGATAGAAAACTTTGTGCCATGGAGCCGGCATCTCCGCAGTACTCCGACGACTTCGAGGTGGGAAGTGAGGGTATCTCTGCAATACGATTCTTAAGCAGACGCCAAACAAGAGTCTAGCTTTGCAAATGCCAGAGTCCCTTCAGTAAAGTATCCGGCCGACAACTTCTCAGGAGACTCTGTCTGACGAGTTTGCGCAGACCTCCACTTCGACATTCTTTGGCGCGGACAGCGACGAAGAGGCAGCAAGTACCAGAAGCGTTCGGCTCATATGTGCACACCACAGGCACGAGGATGCTTTTCTGAAGAGTGAGCCAGATGAGCCAGAAGGCTACATCTTTTGCTTGGTAACCGAAGGTTGCAATCCTGCGAGTGGCATCTGGACTAGGCACAGGGTTGTGGCATGAGAAGGGGACAGAAGGAGAGCGACAGAAAGATCTGTATCTACCACGCCATCTATACATTGAACATGAAAGTCTCGCTTGCCAGCAGGTACTTCTGGATGCTGGGAAGGGTTAGGGGCGGTTGTCAAGAGGCAAGACCAGAACGACACAGGCGCGAGACCCACCTCTGGCGGCATCAGGAAATGCTGAGCGTTGTCGGGCATAGCCCGTTTCAGGGGATTGGACTTCGGCCACTAGTGAGGGGATGTGAGGGGGCGCGGGGGGGGGGGGGGGGGGTTGCGCAGCTGGCCCCTGCTTGAGATGCTTTCTGTGGCAATGTGGGAACGTTCAAGCCAAGGTGAATTCTACCCCTGACGTGTCCAAGAGAACGTTGGAACGCGGGAAGGTAAGGAGGAAATTGAATAGCGGAGGAGACATGGTCTTGGAACGCAAGCCAATGCGGGGATTCCACAAGAGACGTGCCGAGGAAGGCCCTGGAATGCGGTACGCTAAGAGGCTAAGAAGCAATGCGTGAATTCAAACGAGGCATATGCGGCAAGCTAAAGGGAATTCGCAAGTTTAGAAGGGTCCTGGAATGCAATGTTAGAGGAACGCCACACGTTCGGTGTGAAGGGATGAGCCTGAGTAAACCGTGCGTTCACTGCAGTTTCGCTGCTAGGTGGGTTTGTTGACCTGAGTCGACCTGTCGTTTTGCATGTAACCCCCAGAGAACGGCTCGAATTGGATCGTAAACTACATATTTCGAACCTGTCGNNGGCATGACATGCATGACTTTAGCGGATGCCTGTATCGTTGATCCCGGTAGACTGCAGATACTACGATAGACCGGATAGGTGTTGATAGTTGCTTGGCTGCCAGCACGAGAGGGGGACCATATGGGACCATAGAAGAGGGCAGGTGGGGACATTTGAATCTAATGCCAACTAGGCAAAGGCAACAGGCAAGACATGGGCAACATGAGCAAAGAGTTCTGTTGAGAAGGCATACTGGAGAGATGGAAAGACTAGTATGGCCATAGGATGATGGAGCTGTTACGGTTGCCGCGTGCCAGGCAGGAAGAACTCGGACA